GTTGAGAGAAGATGCAGCCGGGGCCTGCACAGCAGAAGCGCGTATGGAGGAGGCGGGCGCAGAGGAGGCGGGCGCAGAGGAGGTGGGCGCAGAGGAGGTGGGCGCAGGAGAGGCGGGTGCAGACGACGCCAATGGCAGCAGAGCGGAGGTAGTGGGCAATGTGCCACCTGTCATTGTTGAGCAGTTTGAATGTACCACTCACCGACCGGACGCTCAGACACATCTGCAAGGAATTATGAGCACATCGTTGTTCAGAAATATAAATCCAACTCACCTTGGCTACCCGATGGCCCAGCACGATCAGGCAACATCGTCACTTCAATGTCCTTCCAGGACATGAAGTCGCTGTCCTCATTTCCATCCTCCTCGGACTTCGAGTCTTTCACCGCCTGCTGGGCAGCAACAGTTTTGCTTCCTCACAGTCAGTACACCCATGAATAGTGGCCATGATACCACTTACCGGACACTGTCGCCAAGGAACATCTTGAGCGCCGCATGGACCTCTGGTGCGTTAGTCCTTGTTTACATTGAGGCGGCAGTATACGTACGGTCGGAACCTTGGTCGCTGCCGTCATCAAAGAGTGGGCGGGGAGAGGGGGCGTCGAGCGGGTAGTCGTCCTCCTCAGAGGACACGATCTGGGGGCCAATGGTGTGTCAAGTCAGAGAGGACTGCATGAGGGAAAGGATCTGTGCGGCAAGAAGAGGGGAGAGATGTAGGCGGGACTTACCGAGTTTGAGTGACAAGGTCGAGCGACTACTGCAAGCGGATTGCACAGCGTGTTGGCAGGCAAAACCTCAGGCGGCTGCCGGTCCAGATGCCACCTGGGCCAAGGAGTCCATGTGGGCTTTGCTCCCACAGGACACTGGAAGCAAAGGAAGATGAATGCCAAAGTCCGCACTGTGGTAGCGTCCAATGGCAGGTACTAGATAGTGTCGAAGATAGAAAAGATATCACACTCACCTTCCCACTGAACCGCACAGTGAACAGGCCAGACTTTCAACGGGCAACCGCACATTCAGCCAGCCAGTGCTCCGAGCGTATGACTCCCGCCCCCTGCACAAAGCGCTTAATTTCCTTTTTAGGACGATTCCCGTGCCGCGGGATTCGCAAAAATACGTCCGAGCGGGCAGGATTAGCCACCGCTGAAACGCAATGTGCCCTGCAACTCGAGGTAGTAAGCACAGTGCTGGAACAGGTTTAGTAGGTCTGATAAATGTAAGGTACATACTGAAATAGGCTGTATATGGTGAGCAAATTGGATGGCGGCATATGCAAGTATGCAGCTGCACTGGCAAGTCAGCAGCTGTATACGTGCATGCCACTGAGGAACTGGGACACGGTTTTTTAGAACCTGGATGCAGATACAGGACATGTCTGCATGTATGTTAGGACATAAATGGAATAATTGGAAACTGACCTTTGGAAGGGCAAAAGAGCAAAAGGCGAATATTGACGCTGAATGGAAGGTGAATCACCGATTTAACCATCTACATGTCAGGTGAGATCATACCCCTCAGTATGATCCGCCAGTCATGTCAGTTGATACCTCGATTCCCAAAACCTACAAAAGAGTGTGTTGTAGCTACTGTACCAACTGACTGGACTTCAGACTCTGTGCTCGACAAAGCACAGAAGTTCTTACTGAATAATTGGGCTTCTAAGTATTCATACCAAACTCTATGGTAGTTTAGTCACAGTCTCTTAGTAGTAGCATCAATATATTGTATTCTGTGGAATAGAAAATGAAACATGAATAGCAGAACTTTGAATACAAAGATGAACTACACCAGCAACAACAATGGTCCCCATAAGTACAAAATGTAATGCATTTACATGGGATTTATGCCATGGTTACCATTCCATGCCATTCTGATGGCATTTCATTTACCTGAAAGTGAATAGTGATGTCAGCTGCCTTTGTCAAGGCCTGCAAGCCGGCAATTGCCTTGTGATGCACCAAAAGGCCAAATATGGTGGGACCATACTTGCCAAGGTAAATAGGTTTTTCCTGATGTTGCAGGTCCCTGCAGGTTACTCTCCCTCATGCCCTGTTTGAGTCTGAAGATGGGCAGTACTGTTGACCCCCTGTAGGTAAGTGCTCTGATCTTCATGGTAGTGGTCCGCATGAGGTGCAATACCACATCCCATCATAGTCTCCCTGCCCCCAAGAGCCCAGGGGCCTTGAGTACTGCCAACAGAATGATGGCAGCTTATCTGATTCAAATTGCAAGGACCCTTCCAAAGGCCCCTGCCTCCCTCCCCCAACACATCCAGACATACCACATACTGCCAGAGGCCCAGACCCCACACCACACCATATCCTATGCTCCTCTGCTGTCACTCTCATCCCACAAGTTGATCCTGCAGTTGTGACTGCCCCATTTGCAGTCATAAACCCCCATGGCAGGTAATGTGTAGGGCTGGCCATAGCCTCCCTGCAACTGGGGTGCACAGTTGGAGTTGCACATTGGAAAGGAAGAGTGGCAACCATTACGAATGGAGGAGGGATTTCCAATGGGATAGATATGTTGTCCCAATGCGTAGGGCATGATGGAGTCAGTTAATGAGGGGGAGAGAGGATCGAGTAGTGCAATCCATGGATAACATGAGGCATCCATGGTCCCAATTGTCGATCAAGTTGGTCAATGGAACCTATGTCATAGTGACTGTGGGGGCCCCGTTGGAGGGTTTCTTGACACTAGGGGAGGAAGGAATGGGTGAGAGATGGGGCAGATGGGGGCTGATAAGCGGGTACCTATCAGTAGATGGTGGTGGTACAAGGTCAAGAAGGAATGGTGCCACCTGCTGTCACAGAACTAGGTTTACATGCACACTAAAGAAGCAGGAAGGTCTTGCCAGGAATGACCCTGTATGGACAGAGAGACTGAGTGAGTATGATACTCACCCTCAAGGTTGTGACAGACTCTAGGTCAATGTTCACATGGACTAGCAAATGATTCAGCTAGCACTCCAAGTTAGTATTACAATCTACAAGACAATTTATCAATGCTTACCTAGCACTCCAAGAGGATGAGATGGAGTGCTAGGGCTATGAGCTACACTACTTATCCCCTTGGGTTTAGGGCAGGGCTCCTACATCAGATAGTCATCACATGTGTGGGGTACTTACACTATTGGCTATCTACTGATGATGTGGGAAGGTGTGATCTGTCATAAGTCCAACCTCGGGATATGTGTCAATGAGTCATGTGCTACAAAAGAAACCTTAGTCCATGGTTACATCATGTGACTAGTCAGAATGCCATTCCAGGGAAAGTCTATCAAGTGTATAGTACAAGTCCATTACCAGAGCAAGAAAAATATAGGTAAAAATAGGGCCTGGCTGTGCCTACCATGACAGTCCTGACTCCCTGACTCCAGGTATCTGTCGCCCTCCATTGAATTGCATCCAGTGTCACTACCCATGGTTGCATTGAGCCCTTTGACTCCCTGCCTTTACATCCTCTGAGGTCTGCAGAGCTGCGGTCTCACTTCTCTTTGTGTTCCATTTCACCTGCTCATGCATACTTAGGCTTGCACAGTGAGTGACATTGGTGAGTCACCAACTTATGTGACTATCCAACTTAGGTACAGAGTTGGTCTACTCTTTCATCTATCTACTCTATCCTTCCCCATTCCTCTCCCTCTCTTTGTGGTCAGCATGAAGGAAACTCAATCATGACCTTGCCCTTTGCCTTTGTGACCCCCAGTCTAGTCCCCTTGGCTGTAGCCTGTGCTTGGGCATTGTAGGAGGTTTGTGTGCATCAATGTTCATCAGCTTTACGGACACTTTGGCTGCATCATATCACCTGTAGCACAATGAAGAAAACAGTGGTGTCAAAATGAGGCATCTTTGTTGTTGAAGGAGTGAAATGAGAGTGGCTGTAAGGCTAATGAACAAACCTGTGAGGGGAACTGCTGGAGGGAGTCCTGTTAGGCACACGGGAGAGCAGAGGAAGGAACAATACATTAGAGGGCATCTAAGCCCAGTATATATATACGAGAGGAAGGCATTATCTGATTGTACAGTATACCTATCAGATGATGCCTGAGTCGTGAGTCATCATCGTAAGCTTCATGAGTAAGTGTTAGTAAGATGGTAAACGGAACTATAGATATCTGTCAATATCATATGACAAGGGAGCAGAGTTCCGATACCGAATGGAGTACCGAATGGATACCGAGTGGAATGCTGAATGGAACTCGGTATAAGCTATCTATAGATAAGAACCAAAAGGAATGTAATCTACGTATAGTAGCGTAGCAGAACACAAGATAAGTCCTTATCAGGAGAGCCTGATTATATAATGTATGAAATAGTAGAAGTTCAACAGACTCCTGCCCTAAACCTCTATGTATATAAGTTAGCTGTAGTAGGAGGTCGAACCTCAGTTCGACCTACTGATCTATTCAGTTCATCGTCCTCACTGGCCTTGAGCCCAAATTACTCAACTTAAGGAGACAGTCTCCTTAACATCCCTCGAACATCCTCACTCACTGAAGAGCACGAACGAACTAACCTTTGATTTGATAGGAACCCTGAAGGGTTAGGTTGTGATGCTCAGGCCACTGAGTGTAACAGTAGTGAATACAAAGGAGCTTACCTAGCTCTTCAAGAGGATGAGATGAAGAGCTAGGACTACAACTCTACTTATACCCCTGAGGTTTAGGGCAGGGCTCCCACACCAGACAGCCATCACATGTGTGAGGTACTTACGCTATTGGCTATCTACCGATGGTGCAAGATGATGCAATCTGCCATAACTCCGGTCTCGGGATATGAGTCAATGAGTCATGTGCTACAAGGTGAACCCTAGTATGTGGTTATGTCACGTGACTAGTCAGAATGCCATTCCAAGTGAAGCCTTATCGAGCATATAGTACAAGTCCATTGTAAAAGCGAGATAACATAGTAAAAATATGAGCAAAAATAGGGCCTAGCCGTGCCTACCACGACAATCTTTCCCAAGTTGAGCTCTCCTCTAGATCAAAAAGAATATGACAAGAACGAGATTCGAACTCGCGCCCATTGCTGGACTGGATACGGAAAATGTGCATGGCTCCCATGCTCACATTCAGTCAAGAACCGCCTGATTCCAGCGCCTTAGACCGCTCGGCCATCTTGCCTCACATTCATGGGCCTCCATCATTGTCACTCAACACCAAAGCTATCTTTGTTGCAATGATAGCTGCCCCAGCACTTGTATTTATGCACCAACATGTCTCTGGGGCAGTCACACAGTGTAGTATACTCTAATGATGTACTTAGAAATCAAATTTTGGGCAGCTTGAGATATGGAGTTTAACGTCAAGTTGTAACCTTTTCCAGTGCAACTGATGTAAAGAGAATGAACCATTGCCTCCAGAGCGATAGCAAGGTAAGAGTCGATGCTATACGGATGTTGCCAACATATTGAAGCAGTGCAAGAAACACATTTCGGCAACATCACAAAGCATTACTAACTGCGATCATGCTGGTCTTACTGTGAAGCCAGGCGATTCCAATCGGTATTCAGCGACGTCTCACCAGACAGGGGACCACTCCTGCACACCTACCCTACTTGTATACTTAGCACGTGGGTCTGAGCAAAGGAAACAAGACGTAACTGTGGTGGGACTTCGGGAAAGCCATCTATCTATTGACTGATGTATTATTAGAATAATCAGTAGTGCGCGGGGTCCTCAATACTATTGTAGTGCGAGTTCAATTGAGTGTGTTTGACGTAACTTGTGCCTGGCATCGGAGTCGCAGTGTGTTGCATATGCTGAGCACGATCTGAGGATAATGTACAGATGAAGAAGCCGGCATGAGGCGAGGCGTTAGCTTCGTCACGCCGCGTACTTCATTAGGATCTGTTATCACCGCACTGTGCGATTGTCATAGGCTGATGGCTCGGGGCCCTGCGGGATGACCCAACACATCTGTGAAATAGTCGCCATGTTCCGTGATGCTCTGTGAATCGAATGAGAAGAAACGACAATCCTTATGACAAGCGAAAATTACCTACCCACACTGATGCATCCAGCGGAACTATCCCACTCGCAGTATTTCATCAATAACGTCACACCCCAGTCTTTTTTTTTTCCCATTCTGATTGTTTAAGCTCCGTACTCGAAGTACATGCAGAGACCATAACTACAAGGAAAATCAGTCAGGACCTATACTGTGCCTTGTGGCTCCCTGCTCCGGCATCCACCCGCTGTTCACTTGAGGCCCAATGGGCGAACTAGGCTTCCTCCTTCGTAGGTATGGACACTCCTGGTCCAGGTCCTCGTTTTCGACTCATAGGCCCCCCTCGGGGACCGGTGGGGTGAGGGGCTTATCCCGTAGGAAATGAATGTCGTAGGAATAGTGAATATGTATCCTCCTCCTCATCGTATCATCCAGGCCACTTCTGGCACTTCTCTTCTTCGTCTGTTGTTTCTCCACTACCAGAATGAAAAGCAGGGGGCAAACCTATGGGTGGCGCATAGCACCTTCCAGCAAGAGGGTGCTGGTGTTGTTTGCGTTAGGTTCCCCACCTCCACAGTTGGACCCGAGCCTCCCTCCACATGCAACACCTCCACTTCCACCTCCCTACAGTGCCTCACAGAATACGGATTTATCCCAGGGGCCAAAGGCGCCCCGGAGCTTGCTTCCCGACTTCGCGCATCGGACTCACACGAGGGAGTCTCCCGTGCGTTTCGCCACCGGGGTCTAGGGCACGTTACTGCGACAGGCAAGAGGGGGAAGGAAAGGCGAGGCCATGGAGCCTAAAGTGGGACGTGGGAGGTCGACGGTTGCGATCGATGGCACTTGGTTGGCGAGAGTGAGGAGGGGTGTTTTATGGTCCTCAAACCCAGGGGAAAGAGGGATTATGTCGCGGTGTCGAGTTGGTCGACAATAGTGAATGTGGGGGCCGAGTTGGACGGCCTTGACGCGAGGAAACGAGGGTGAATTAGGGGGGGGAGGGTAAATAGATGGGCTCCGATAAGCGGGCGCCTACCGGAGATGGTGGTGGTTCGAGGTCAAGGAGCGGATGAGTCACACCCCAGTCTTTGAAGGGCGAAGCTACGAAAGTGGGTTGAGTAATGTGGAAGCTGCTGAGCACGCCGCCGCATCAGCATAGCCTGTAAATCTTATGCGACGTGCACTGCAAGAACTTTCTGGGCGCAACACGCGCAGATTCCGGGGGAGTGGAGCCAGCATGTAAACTTGAAGGATCACCGTGGGCATCGGCATAAGCTACAATACGAATGACTTAGATCTCAGCGTCCCTCATGAGCGCAGCAGGTGGCGGGACGGCAGCTGCTCGAAGGTTATCTGGCATCTTAATGAATTGTTTCCGCGTTCACGCACCACGAAGAGGCGGTCGTGGACAAGCTTGTCCGCGCATATAGCCAAATCTGGACACATGTGCGATCTTTTCGGATTGGCGGTGTGGTAGTTTAGGGATGCCTATTGAGTATTGAATATTGAATGCCAGGACGATGTTAACAACCCACCATCAGCTCATACTATACGACGTAAAGCTTGTGCCCTTTGGCTGAGTAGCTAGAGTGCTGATATTCAACATGGCATTCGTACTTGTGATGCCTGAGCTACTTGAATCTCGTCCCCCTGTTTTTAGTCGCGAAAAACAGATTGGAGCTAAGTAAAGAGAACTCACGTTTTGCGCCGTATGCACGCAGTGATGATCGGCGAAACGAGGAGCGCTGAAGCTGACGTGGCGACTCGCACCTCCTCTGATCTTCCATCATTCCTCAGATTGTGGACTTTTCAGGTCGTCTCTGATCTCACGCTACATGGCTCTGCTTGTGCCGAGGGACTTATTTTTGCACTGCCAGCCTGCAGTGGGACTGATTGGAGCTCTCATGCCCAATCGATTATGTACGCCATCTCCATAACGTACCGAGTTCGTCGACGAAGCTGTGGAGCTGGGGTGTGTATCGTCGTCTTTGTTGGAGGAAAGTAACAACTGAAGCCGAGAGTCAGACACCATGTGTTAGTGCTGATCGCCACTACTTCGTCGGCTATCATGGTGACATTCCGGCGGAAGCGCGACCCTGGCCAAGAGGACGATGCCGAGGGGAGAGGACGTCCTGCTAGACGCTGTTTCGTTGGCTTATTATCCTCTTCTCCCCTGGCCGCGTACACGCCCACAACACGAAACCTGACGGCAAGGTGACATCATGTATTGACGTGTCTCCGCTATGGCAGCTCAGGGTAGTGTATCATTGACACCCGCGGAGGCAAATGCGGCCGAAAGGTACGTGCCTGGTCGATCTGTCGCGTGAGCTGGATTTGACAATGGATCTAACAGCTTTCTCTTATTCTACTACTACTTCGAGAACTCGCTATATTGGTCGGCGACAAGTACGTACTAATCTACCCTTATTTATCATAACTCGTTGTTGATGGCACGCGCTGTAGCATTATGCTGTTACGACTGGTTCTTGACTCTCGATCGTGAGGTCGAGTCGATATGGAAGACCGAGCAGTCCCTAGTGACTATCCTTTTCTACGGGATTCGCTACCCCGCCATCCTTAACACTGTGATCGAGCTCCTCACTCGTATATCGTGGCCGAGCTGGCAATCCAACTTTGTGAGTTTCACATTCTCGATGGGCCTGATCGCGCGCTGACCCACCTTTGTCAGAGGTGTGGATTCTCGTCGCAGGAACTCTCGCGTTGCATTAACTACCTTTCTCAGTTGTGTAATCCTTCTGCGTACCGAGGTCGCGTTGGCAGTCATAATCTTGACAAGTGCCAGTGGTGAGTCGCCCTTCCGCAAAGATTGACCTCATGTGACGACCCATGAATCCTGCGGTTGTAGTGTTTGCGTCTTTGCGTATCTACGCCGTCTTCAACCGGAATATCTGGATCGCCTCCATAGTACTGCTGCTCGGCATCCTCAATCCAGTTCTTACCACTGTGAGTTCTTTTGCGGCCACCCGCCCTCTGCGAACAATCCATGATGTGTTGACGACGAGGCCATAGTATGTCTTCATGCATTCAGTCCCCGTTCTCGACGGCTTTATGGAGTACCAAGTGTGCACGCTAGCACTGTCACCTGGAGACCGTGAAGCTGTGTACTCCCTCTACAGGTGAGCTGTCCGTCTTTGATTAATTCCATGCCAGCTGCTCACATCCCTCCATCCAGTCGTATGTGGCTTCTCTCCATGCATCGCCGGTCCTGGTCCCGAGTCAACTGAAATACTTGCCCAGTGATGATGAGCGCGCGTGCAGCGTCCCTGCTCTCGGACGGCGTAGTCCTAGTTCTCACGGCTGTGAAGACATTCCGGGTCAGAAGAGCTACGTCAGATCCGTCAAGGGGGCCCATGCTCACAGATATAATGCTTCGAGACAGTACGCGCAGTCCATTCTCTCATGGAGTAATGAGGATGAATCCTAACTATCGTCGGCAGCTCTACTCTGTTTTGCGTGAGTAGTATGTCAATAAGCCACTTGGGATTGCTCAGGCCCCGCTGCTTCCATAGGTTGTTGTGTGTCTTCAACGTGCTCGGCCTCGCAACGGGGCATCTTACGCTCACCATACGTGGGATCTTCTGCGACTGCGAGGTGAGGCTGCAAGGCTTCTTTTTCCGACGTTTCACTGAATTATGGTCTCTTGTATCACGCAGTTCATCGAAGCTTGGCAGTTCTGGACGGCGATGTACGTCTACACACAACACGATCCCTGTATGCGAGAAGTGCTCACCCAACATTGGCACAGCCTCAATTCTGTACTACTCTCTCGTCTCACACTAGACATCAGAGATACTTCGCGGCCGGAAGACCGATCGTTGCCAACGAGCGGCCTGTTGAGCACCTCTACTTCCCCCGATGGGGAAACCACCGAAGAGGCCATAGAGCTGGACACAGAGGTTTCACTCTGGGCGAACTCGCCTTCTACTAGCACAGAACGCAACACTGAAGTTCCTAAGACGGATCCCCCCGGGTAGATGGCGGGTGCCACCTAACAATGATCGCTTACGAACATTTTGCAATGAACTTATGACGATCTATAATATATCATTCTGCCCAAGACACGGAAAAGGGCATTTCAACTGTCATAGATATCACAACATGCCCTTCGCTTGCGCCATTGGATCACCGCGAGGGTCACATGGGCAGTGCTGTGCGA